AAAATGGAAACGGAATTGCCAGTTCCGGTTCAGAACCTGTTTTTATTAATTATCTAATAATAATATTAATAATATTAATACTAATAATAATAATATAATTGTAAGGGAAAAGGGTCAAATAGACCCTTCTTTTATTTCCAATCCATCACTTAAGGGCATTCTCATCCATGAGATTATTTGGGGATCATCATGATGATGTGGAAGATCTTTTTAGAGATTATGGTTGAGGAAATGAGATTATTTTGAAATATTATTTAGATAAAAATCTGGTATCATATATTGAATCCTAGACTATTCAAGATTATTCTTAAGTTTCAATAAACACTTTTAATGCAACCATGTCTTATAATTTAGAATGACTAAAATACCTCCTAGAAAATAACAAAGAACTCCATAGAATTATAGAAATAACAATTACTCCGTATATTTTTTACTAGTTACTTCTCATTAGTTATTACTAGTTATAAACTTATAATACTTTTTATTAAAATTACCAGTATCAAGTATACATAATTTACTAATAACTAAATTATTTTAAAACACTAGCTTGTAGGTTTGTACAATCTAATTTATAACTACTTAGCTATTAATTATCTTACTACCGTATTTGTTATAACAATGATAAATACGGAGTATTATATATACTAATAATTTTTTGGGAACTATTTTATTTGAATATATGTATTATTATTTTTAATTTATTTTAAAAAGATCAAGTAAACTTTAATATCTAAAAAGGAAAAAAAATTGGAATCGTAAAACCGAACCGGATTGGAATAGGAACCGCCAGTTTTGGAACCGGTATTGCGTGGTTCTGGTTCCCCAAAATTGGGAACCAGGAACCGGCGGTTTTGTTCCAGTCTTGTCCCGAACCGGGGACAACCCTACATTGTGGTGTTCAAAAACACTCCCTCCATACTCAAACAATTGTGCATTAAGCCATTAACCAAATGTAAATCTTGATACAATGACTAAGTTGCATTTCCATATTCATTTCACTTTTGTTTGTTAACTCTAATGCATAAATAAAATAAATAAATAAATAAAAGTATGTTTGTTAATTTATGACAAAGTAATTACCACTTTCAGAACCAAAGTAAGTTATTTAATTGAGAATTATGTTTGAGAACTGAATGGGTAAAGTGCCAGCATTCCATCTAATTGATTAAAGATGGGTGAAAACTAATTAAACGGCAAAACCGTCAGAAGATTGGGAAGGAAAAGCGTTTGATAAGGGGCATTTAAGATATATATAGGTAAACCAAAAAACTAGTATTCTGGTGATAAGTAGAAAAACTAGTACTATGGTGATAAGTAGAAAAGGCGAAGTTCATTACTAAATAGATCCCTAATCTCAAGATTTAGTCTTTCTCTAAAACGAAAAACCTGTGACTTATGAGTGTCATTTTTCCATCTCCAATCATCTTTCCATTAGATCCAAATATTTAAATGCAAACAAATCTAACCAAATCAACTACTTAAACTCAAAATAGAAAGACAAAGCAGCCACACAATCTTTTACGGAAGCAACAAATACTTGTTTAGATAGCATCAAACCAGCAGAGAAGAACTTTAATTGCTTAAATTATACATTAATAGATGAATATAGAGAGAATGAGAGATAAAGAGAGATGACCAAGTCCAGAGGAGAGCTTGAAAGCAAAGCAGAGAGTGATGAAGATGGAAAAGAAGCGAAAGCTGTGCATTCTGGAGTGAAACTTCACGGGACACCTAGCTTCAATTTTTCCTTATTTGCATTCTTATACTTCAACCAGGGGCGAATCTAGGGATGGCATTCAGTGGGAACCAAAATTTATTAGGTATATAATAACCTCTATTGCAAAAAAAAGTCAAAGACAAATATTGCAGGAATAAGAGTTTTCATCCAACTAATATCACAACTGTTCTGTACAGGTTTTGAACGACTAATATCATTTGTCAGTTTTCAAGAATGTCTTTTTCTACATAAACAAGAAACATATCATTGAGAGAGTCATCACTATCAGTTATCAAATAATGAGATTAATAAAAAAATCACAATCACATTGATGCTAATGTAAATGATGCTCACAAATGACATGAGTAATAGATGTTGAAAATGAAAAGCGGCTCACTTAAATTAGAAGTAAACATAACTATAAATTAGAACCATATAAAGCTGAAAGCGAATCAAAGTATAAAGAATGAAGCTGGAATTCCGGAAATAATTCCTAAATTCTAATTTCTGGAACTCCTAATTTGTGGAAATACTAAAGTCTAGAATTCTGGAAATAAGGCTGCATTCTAATTTCTAAAGCTGAAAATAAAAAGTACTACGGTATAACAAAAGAAAACAATTAAAAAGCTTACCTCAAATCTGAAGAGGCGCTCAGGCGCGGTGCGCCGACGGCCGACCAGAAATCGACCTGAACCGTGAGTGCGTGACTGGCTGAAGAAGAGGACTAGCCGACTGATATTCGCGTTCTGGACTTCGAGCAGCGAAGACTGAAGAGGACCCGGAGTACTCAACGACGATGCGACTTCCGAGTCTGCGCCTTTAATGTATTCGTGTGGGATTGGGCCCTGCCCGGTCTGCCCCTGACTTCACCTTTTTATGCTTCCATTTCCTTCAAAAATTTAGAGAGAAAGTGGAAGTGTAAAGAAGAAAAATCACCGCGGACGGCGGACGTGATGAGCAGCTACCAGTCGGGAAATAATACTGTAACACGGAGTAATAATGATGGTGTAATCATTGTCAACGGTATTTAAAGTGGTGTGTTTTGTCATTAGACTCGTAACATTATTATTCCTTAAGTAGCAAAAGGTACCCGTAGTTAGTAAAATATGCTAAGCAATTGTGGTCAAATCCAACACCAATAATTATTACTCGGGTACTTTACTACGGATGACTATGAATGAATGAATGAGTGAGAAGCCAGGTGTAGACATTTTAATGTACAGCTTTTACATTAGTCTGTCTGAGGTACACATCATTGTCAATGGACAAATAATTTTGTGTTCGTGAGACAGACGAGTATACAAAAAAATATACATCAAAAAGTGTATACAAGATTTTTCATTGTAACAATAAGTCTTATGTTCACATCGTCTATTGTTTATTCTTTACTCTTTTTTATTTAGATAAGATCATATTCAACGCGTAATTTTTCAACCAGTAACTTTTAGTAGCATGGTATCCATCCCAATAGGTAGTCATGATGATAACCACGTATAACGTTTGATTAAATGGGTCATTAGTCTTAATATGAAATATTTCGTATATCTAAAAATATACTAGTACGTGCCTACGTGGTAATCATTTTTTTAATGTTTGGTTAAATACATACGAGAGCTGCACCTGGGTTCTGAAGCTCTTGTTCTTGATTTTAGAGGGTTTCCACGTGTACTTTGTTACTAGTGGTAAGGTTCTAAGCCCTCCCTTGGTTATGATATGATGTCTTAATAATACTCGGTAAATGTTTTCCAATATTTATCCCATCGATTTTAATGGTTTGTCTTTCAGGTTAAAAAAGAAAAAATATACATAAATTATTTTGATTTCAATTATATTTTTTTAAAAAATAGATGTTCATGATTCTAAAATCACATATACGATAAATGTTCATGATATTCTTTCTATACATACAAGTTAAGATGTGATTGATGACTTTGCACTTGTTAAACAATTGGAGTATTTAAATTTAGTAATGATCAAATATGACAAACCATTTGAAAAGCAGTAATAAAAACTTATTAAAAATACTCAATTCGTTCGGTAATTATGTGACTTAATAATAGGCCAATGAAAAATCATCAAACTAAATTGCCACATATACATTAGGTTTATTGTGTTAAATCTCTTTGATGTGTAAGTTATGTGCATTATCCCATATAATAGTTCAATAGATACATCAAAATGTCATGTGTTGTGATAAGTCATACATGTGTTTATCTCTAATAACCGATTTAATAGTTGGATAAAACAAAAGTCATTATTGCTTTTAACATTTAGATATCTAGACAAATATGCATTAAGTTTACTTAACCCTAAGACACATATTTTCTCCGTGAAACTTTGTTATTTTGATCTAGACTATGAAAGGTGTGATTAATTGTAATGTATGAAATTTGGAACATAGTTTGATTCTCAATGAAATCATGTGCATAATTTGTATATTAAGAGGGGTTTCACCCATAAAGTTTGTCACTCAAGATTACCCTAATTCATAGGTTTAAAAAATTATTTTTAGTTATAAAATAGTACACATAAAAAGTACAAACACTACTCAGGACAACGCTCGGGTTCGACACTAGTTATAACAATAACTGTTATGTTCGTATTGTTTATCGGTTATTCTTTTTTATTTAGACCAGATCATATCAGAAAATTTTAAATCATATTAGAGCATAAATAACCACATCAAATCATAAAAATTCATACCAGATCAAATCATATAAGAAATATTCATATCAAATTAGAAATGTTGAAACAAATTTTAATAATTCTATAATAATTATTTTATTATTAATAATGATTAAATAAATATACAAATTTCTATAGACTTTTTGTTGGTCCATAGTTAAATGACGGTTTTCATCAGATCATTGTTGGTATGCAAGTTTCCGTGGATAATAGTACACTCCAGCAGAAATGTCCTTAATGTAAATAAAAATTGTTACTTATATATTAGACATGATTTGTAAATGAGTAAAAGTACAATATTAATAAGAGATCATTTTCCAAATAGGAGTAAAAGTGTAAAACATGGAGGAAGTGCAAAAGTATTAAAATAGGAGTACGGTGTTAAAATTCTCCAAATTAAGAGTATTTTTTGAAAGCTTGAATTGGACTAGTATTTTTTATTCATTAATTACTTACATAAACGAAATGGAGCATTTATATTTTGGTAGAGAAAAAGTCATATGGAGGAAGTTATTCTAACTGAAACTGCAAGTCAACCGGAGAAATTTAAGCTCAAATATCTGGTAATGGAAGAATATATATTTGGGGGTTGACAATATTATTGTCTTCTCAATATAATATTGCAAAACTAGAGAATTGATATAATCAGAAAGAAAGTTGCAAGAAAATGGCAGACTGCTGGGATGACGTGATGGCCGGGCCTCACCCTTCAGGTGCCCTTGGCAAGCTGCGAAAGAGTCTTTCCCTCAACATTGGTATGTGTTATACATGTGACAAATTTACTGTGTAACGGCATATAATGTTAAGTTTTTGAGGCCCGAATAACAAAAAATATCAATTCCGGAGTACATTATTCTAAATATTTCAGGATAAAAAATCAACTATGATGAAAATATAGGATAGTTCTGAAACAGTACTTGCACGAATTGATTATTTAAAACTTGGGATTATGAATAGTTTTATGCATCAAATTTTATTTATTTCAGATTTAGATTATGCTAATTTTTTTAAAGATCATTACTTTTTAACCGTGATGAGTTACGAGAGTCATATTATATCAAATCAAAACATTGCACCATTGAAAATGTTGGAATAATAAGTCATCCTTTATTATCTCTTATAGCTAGGGTTTAATGCACCAAACCCCCCTGTGATTTAGAAATTCGGCGCATTAGCCCCCTGTGATTTAAAAAATGCGTTAAACCCCCCTGTGTTTTAATTAATCATGCGCCAAATCCCTTATGTGAACAAATTCAATTGTCAAATAAAAGGAAAAATGATTAACATTTTTGTATGATTCAGAGATTTTGACATATTTATTTGCATATTCAATCAAAATATTAGGAAAAGTGATTTTCAAATCGTTAAATTTATTCATAAAGGGGGTTCTGTGCATGATTAATTAAAACACAGGGGGGTTTGACGCATTTTTTAAATCACAGGGGGCTAATGCGCCGAATTTCCAAATCACAGGGGGGGTTTGGTGCATTAAACCCCTTATAGCTAATAGGGGAATGAGTCATTATAAAACCCCTTATTAAATGTCAACATAGTTTGATAACAAAGGGATTCATTATTAATCCAGGATTTCAAAGTCAAATGTGAGCCTACTTTTGTTAAGGATCAACGGTGAACTTGTGCTATAACCAGTTATAACCGAGTTTCCCTTATAATGGCCCTTGTTCATTTTCATTCATTCACATCCACCAACAACAACATCCAAGCCTTAGTCCCAAACGATATTGGGGTCGGCTAACATAAATTTTCATTCATTCACATAGTAAAAATAATTCAGTTGTCAATGTGTTTGAATGTTAATGTCGGCTAAATGGTCAAATAGGCCCATGTACCGGTCCTGTAAGCTCAATTCAGTTACCTGAATTAAAAAAGGTCCAATTCACACCCCGAACCGGCAAAAAATGGTTCAAATTTCATTTTTTTAAGGTTAAACAACCGGTAAAAAAGGTCCAATCCGCACCCCTAAACTTTTAAAAAGTGCCAAAATTGCAATGAATCGAAAATGAAAAAACAGAAACAATTAAAAAATTAAACAAGTAACCGGTTTTTTTTTTTTACCCCGGAAGGCCAACCACCAAAATCAGTGGGGTAAATGCCGGGGGACATTTACCAGAATTTATTAAAGAAAATAATGGAAGTACAAAAAAGATCGGGGGGGCCAAACCGAACCCGAACAAATAAAAACATAGGCACCTAAAATCATATTCTAACTGAAGGAATGCCAAAATAATCCATCCAAAAAGCCCGTTTCACAAAAGTGGGAAGTTGACCCGTGCTCGAATAAATAACCGGTTGTTTACCTATAAAATATGAAATTTGAATCATTTTTTGTCGGTTCAAGGTGTGAGTTGAACCTTTTTTTAGTTAAGGGACTGAATTGAGCTTACACAACCTCTAAAGGGGCCTATTTGACCCTTTAGCCTATTAATGTCTAATCTTACTTGAATTCAATTTTTGCACTTCGATAAATTCTAATATTAATTTTAATATTTTCCACTAGAATTTAGTCATAGAATCTTAAGGGAGCTGGGGGAGGTTAGCACCATCTAGGAGTGAAACATGATTTCCATGTTTTTATACCAAAAGATACTACCTACATCCCAAAAAGGTGTCATATTGACTTTTCTTAAATAAAGATGACAAACTTTGAATAATAATCTTAATTATTAAATTTGTATATAATTTCTATATTTTATACTATTTGGAAATAGTGTTAATAAGAAACATTTTGATATAACTTTCATATTCAAAATAATTACGTACAAAAAATATCTTTGATCGACTATCATTATTTAAGAATAGTAAATTTAGCAAATCTTTTTTATGACTTGTGGGTGCATGCAATTCAATGAAATGTATGCATTATGTACAGATCATGGTGGGGTGGGAGAAGGGTCCAGCAGCAAATACCAAAAGGGGGCGATGCCGGGCAGCCCTGTTGGTCCGGCGACACCAACTACACCATCCCCAACGGCAGCGCGTAAAGACAATGTGTGGAGGAGCGTTTTCCACCCCGGCAGCAACCTCGCTACCAAGTCCATTGGTGCTGATGTCTTCGACAAGCCCAAGAATTCCAACTCTCCCACTGTTTATGATTGGTAAATAAAGTATACATTACTTCACACATAAACATGGAAATTTTACTTATAACTAATTCAAATATACTCTCTTTGCCAGAATATGAATACATTATGATAGCAATTACCAATCATAGCATTATCCAACCATAATATTTGTTGGTTATGACCTTCTTTGGTTAATAAGATCTAAAAGATACTTTTACTTTTAATCTGAAGTATGACAATAAAGGGTCTGAATGGTTGAATAGTATCAATCTAAGATCTAAAATATCATAAATTTTGATTTTTTTTTTATTTTTTGCCAATCCCTATGTTCACTTTTCATGGTTTTTTCTTCACAAAATTAAAGTTTATTTATTAACAAGATTAACAATATTTAATTTTTTAAAATATAAAAATATTAAAGTTTATGAAATTTTAGATCTTGGTTGAAAGTTTTTTGATAAAAAAAATTAGATTGAAAGTTTTCAATCACTCAAGCCATGTATCTAAACATTTTATCTTTTAAATTCCTTATTGATAGTGAACATATCTTTTAGGTCCATTGTTGATTTTCTTAATGCACACCCAATATATACTAGGTAAATATCATCTCAGAAACAAAACACAGAAGACATATTCGATCGGTTATATATTTATACACTATAATATTGAGAATATGAAAATGATATCAAAATGCTCTTTGTTACTAATACTATCATAAAAGTATAAATTTATTAAGTTTCACATACATATATTAATTAGTTAAAATAATGGATCAAAGTTTATCACATTTGACCAAAAAAGTCAAATATGGCTAAATAAAAAGGGACAAAAGTAGTACATTATTTCTTTTAATCAGGTTTTGAAAACAAAAAAGTTACTGATAGTCTAATACGGAGTACATTTATCATTTCTTTTCAGATTTTGTTAACTACGGAGCATCATGTAATCCCTCTCATTTCTTAAGACTTCATCACCTTTAATTTTCTTGGCATGGTCAAATGTTAAATGTTCACCAATAACGAAACATATAATAAGGAATTTTAATATTTGTAATATACAAAATTATTTGACCAACCATATATTTCATATTTGTAGACAAAAATATGCTTTGACCAAACGTGTAGTAGTGTATGAAATAATTTATAATAAGAGAATATGAAAAAGTTCTTTTATTAAACATACTCCGATTCCACAAAAGCATAAAACTAAGTTCTTTTGTTAAACATACTCCGATTCCGCAAAAGCATAAAATTTAGAACTTTGATAAGGGTACCAATTCAAGTTTTAAGCTAAGGAACCCCAATGAGTACTATGTAATAATTAGGTTCTAATAGAGCCGTTTGATGACTCTGTTTTTCGGCTTATTAGTCGACTTTTTTACCAGACGCATACTTTTTTATTTCGCGCGTTGAACTGTGTAATGATAAGAAAAAGTAAGGTTGAGACTTGAAATACTTTTTCTGATAGTATTGACTGAAGTTACTGCAGAAGATTGTTTTAGCTCATATTCATATAATTTTTCTTTATCTTATTAATAAAATATATTTTAAATATAATTTTTTTCATAAATCAGCAGAATCAGTCAATTCAGTCGCTTCAATAATAACAACTTCATAAATTTCACCATACTCATTCAATACAGTCAATTTCGGTATTTTCAAACGTACTCATTATAACAACATACTTAGAGCTAGCTTACTGAATTCAATGCAGGCTTTATAGTGGGGACTCCAGATCAGAGCATCGTTGAATTGATGAAGAGGGGATACTGGAGGTCAAATTTAATTGTTTAGGTCGGTTTAATTTGTTCTTTTATATAATTTCAGTCGTCCGTTAATCTAAAGACGATAAAGACAAGATGACATTTTTGTAATAAAATCAAACTTTTTCGGAATGCAATTCTTTGAACATTAATATACAACTATTATTTGATAACAAAATAATATGCAACACTGTGAATCTCAATATGCAATGCAAAAAGTTTAAAAATGCATCGTGCAAACATTTAAACAATATGCATAGTTTGTACCTGATCCACCTCTTATGATTAAAGATGATTATAATTGTATACGATAGTATTAGCATATGGGTAGGCTTTAGTAAGAACCCCTTTTAAATTGAGATTGAACTCATTTATGAATAAGAGCTTTTAATCTCTATCTTTCATATTTGTAATCAATAGCTAGAATTAATAAGACATTTTTGTAATTAATTGAAATTACTTAAAAATGACCTCATTTAAATTTGGAATAATTACAAAAGAGATACGATATGCATAGTGGCGTAGTCAGGATTAAAGGTTGGGTGAGCCGATACAAAGAAATTTTTTCAAATAAATTTTTACACATATAATTTTACACTAAAAAAACAAACAATTTGCAAGTTTGTACCTCCGCCCATGTTAATTCACGCTAACAATTGAAAGTCAATAGTATTCACCATATATATCAGTGTGCTATTCATTCAGTATAAATAGCGAGTGTAAACATTTACAATTGCTAATTGATAACTATGTACGTAATTGTATCAAAGTAAACTAGTTATCTAATTGGATTACATGTGATAAGACTACGGAAGAGTAGCCAAAGTACATAATCGAATGAGTGGGTATTATTTACAAATTAATAAATGAGTTGTGAGCTAGCATGTGAAACCTTCGGCGAGCAGGTTGTTATGTGTGCATGATGCATGGTCATGCATGGCATGATAATTCTATCACTCCCCTACATTTTGAACGTGGGGTGGATGAACATTCAAATTGGATCGAAATTCATCAAACAAGATTCGAGGGATGCCCTTAGTAAATGTATTCGCATATTGGAAGCGAGAAGGAACGTACAAGAAACGGATGTGACCGAGAGCAACCTTTTCCCAAATAAAACGGATGTCCATTTCAATGTGCTTCGTTATTTGATGTTGGACTGGATTTTGGGAGATATATGGTGCTCACATTGTCGCAGTACACGAGGGACACCATAAAAAGGGATGACGAAGCTAAAGCAAGAGATTATGTAACCAACATAATCTGGCCCCTACGTTTGCTACACCACTGTATTCAACTTTGGCGCTGGATCGGGAAATAGTAGTCTGGCGCTTGGAGGACCCAGAGAGAAGATTATCTCCTAGGAAGACATAATAACCGTATGTGGCCTGGAGCGGCAGGTGTCCGGGCATCCGCCCCAATCAGCGTCGGTGTATGCAGTTAAGTCAGTCGTTGGAGAAGAGCGAAGATGACGATCGTGTAAGAGTGTGTATTTAACATAGTCGAAGAATTTGCTTAAGAGCATCAAAGTGAGCAAGTTGGGGGTTGTGCATGTGGAGGAAAATTCACTGGACGACGTATGAAAGATCCGGACGGGTAAAGCTGAAACATCTACCAAATTGTGGTAGAGGGTGGGATCGGACACAGGAGGGCTGGTGTCAGCACCAAGCTTTGTCAGCTGGTGTCAGCACCAAGCATCAACTGAAGTGTACTGTGAGCATAGTTGCATGAAGTCATAGCAGCATTAGTAAGGATTTTCGCAGCATATTTTTGTTGTGAGAGGAAGATGCTGCCAGCTTGACGTGTTACGGTGATGCCAACAAAGTATGTAAGGGGACCCAAGTCTTTGAGGTAGTATTCCACACCAAGCCAAGAGATTAGGGTATTGAGCAGTGTTGGTGTGGAAGCGGTGAGTACGATGTCATCCATGTATAGAAATAGAAAGACTGTAGCACCGACATGATTATATATGAACAAGGAGTGATCAACTATATTGTGTGTGAAACCCAGCTTGGCGGCATATGTGGAGAACCTGTGGTACCATGTTCGCGGGGCTTGTTTAAAACCATTTTTTTTGTTAAACCCAGCTTAGCGGCGAGAGGAGTCTTTAAACTCGGGTGGTTGATGCATCTAGACTATTTCATTAAGAAAGCCATGGAGGAAAGTGTTATTGACGTCAAGCTGATCAAGAGGCCAAGAGTGGTAAAGTGCAATGTTGAGGACCATGCAAGTGGTTGTCAGCTTAACCACAGGGCTAAAAGTGTCATCACAATTAATGTCGGAGCGTTAAGGATTGCCGTTGACCACTAAGTGTGCTCTATGGTGCTCAAGAATCTCGCCCGACTTGTATTTATGTTTAAACGACCACATGCAATGTATGATATTAACATTAGGGGGACGGAGAACCAACTCTCGTGTCTTATTATTAATAAGAGCTACAAATTCACAAATCATAGCTTCTATCTAGTTAGGGTCACTTAGGGAATGTAGGTGGGATTTAGGGAGTGGTGATGGTATGAAGCGGTGAGTATAATGTTGTCCATGTATAGCAATAGATAGGCCGTAACACTGCCATGATGATATATGAACAAGGAGTGATCAACTTTATTTTGTGTGAAACCCAGCTTGGCAGCTTATGTGGCAAATATGTGGTATCACGCCTGGGGGACATGTTCTAAACCATATAAAGATTATTTTTAAAAGGCACACATGTGACGAGCGTGAGGAGTCTTTAAACTTGTATGGCTAATGCATATATAGACTGTTTCATCAAGCTAAGAAAGCCATGGAGGAAAGCGTTGTTTGACATCAAGTTGATGAAAAGGCCAAGAGTGAGAAAGGCAATGATGAGGACCATGTGAATGGTAGTCGGCTTAATCACATGGTTAAAAGTGTCACACAATCAATGTTAGGACATTGAGATTTAATTTTGACCACTAAGCGTGCTTTATGGCGCTCAAGAGTCCCGTTCGACATGTATTTATTTTTAAACAACCACATGCAATGTATGATATTAGCATTGGGGGATGTTGAACCAACTCGCACGTCTTATTATTAATAAGAGCTGTAAATGTGAAATCATAGCTTCTTTCCAGTTAGCATCACTTGGGGTATGTAGGTGGGATTTGGGAAGTGGTAACAGTGTGATGGGTATGAGGGCTTGGGTGTGTTAACACATAGATTTGTTTGAGAGGGAATATCATGACTTTGTTATGGGTAATCATAGGATGGTGGGTGGGATGGATGGTTGTGGTGGTTTGGTAGTAGTGGGTGATGGTGGGCTAGAGTCATGATAATTTGGAGATTATGTTGGATTTACTTGGTTGGTTGGAAGGGATAGTAAGTGGGATATGAAATATGGGGATTGGGAGGCAGACACAGAGTTAGGGGGATGGGCAGTTTTGGTTGTTGCAAGTAGAAAATGGATTTGTTAAATGTAACGTGTTGGGAAATGTTGATGTGGCATGTAGATAAGTCAAGGCATTTATATCTTTTATGTTGAGTAGGGAAATCGAGAAAGGCACAAGGAGTAATGTGAGCGGCAAGTTTGTGGTAGGAAGGAGATAAGGGTAGCATAAGCAACTGAACAATGCGCAAATGAGAGTAAGTATGTTGTTTATGGTACAAGACTATGGTAGGGGATTTAAAGGGTGAGGGATTTGCATGTGAGAATATTATGGAGATATGTGACCATGCGGACAACATGACACCAAAAGTGGAAGGGGACGAACACATGAATGAGAAGGGTACGATGGATATTATTTATAGAGCGTAGTTTGCATTCCGCTTTACCATTTTGAGGTGAGGTATATGGACATGAGTAGCGGAAGGAGGTCCCATGTGTGATGCAAAAATTGTGAAATAATGAAGTATTCAATTCATGGCCATTGTCACATTGTAGGATTTAATATTTGTTTGAAATTGAGTTTGCACAAACGTGTAAAATTGCACCAATGTAGAAAACGCGTCGGATTTGCGATTTAGGGGATAAATCCACAAAAAATGGAAAAATCATCTTGAAAAAGAATATAATATGAGTGACCAGTGAAACTTAAAATTGGAGAAGTCCACGTGTCATTGTGTATGATTTCAAAGGGGACGTGAGTATATGATAACAGTGGGGAGAAGAGAAATTTATTATGTTTTCCCATTTGACAAGAGTGACAAACATCAATATATGTTTTGTTACAATCAATGAGATTATTAGTGCTATGACTAAAAAAATTGGAATGTCGGGGTGTCCGAGTCGATTGTGCCAAGTAGCTGACGAGAGGTTGCAAAGTGGGTGAGATGTGAATTGGTGTTGGAGAGGAGGACACACACTGGATACAAATCACTTTGACTATTACACCACATGATCGGGGTACTTGTATGAAGATCCTACATAGACAAACCAAGTGGGTCAAATTCAATGGACACGTAGTTATCAATAGTGAATTTTCATACAGAAATTCAATTTTTAATAATATGTGGGTCGTGTAGGACATTAAAGAGTTTAAGTCGGGGAAATAGATAAAAGAAACATGTATGACCGTGACATAAAACAGTAATAGATGAACCGTTTCGAACCACGATGCTACCTTTAGAGGTCGTATTAATAAAAGAGGAGGGAGTACCTGAGTCCGACGTCAGTGAGAGGTAGCCCCGGTGTCCATGTACCAACTATCATCGGACGGGTTGAGTGTCATTGTGTTCCTCATGGAAGCATGAATGTTTTAGGGAAGGTAGCTGGTCATATGGGACTATCCGGGTCCAATAGTTAGTGTTTGCAGACAGGGGGCCCGAATGGCAACAAATAGCGAGCTCATAGATGGAGAGGCGCCTGGTGTAGTGGGGTAGGGACACGGGGGTAGACAAGTAGGGTGGCATCCAGGCAGCCCATGTAGGAAGTGGGCATGGAGTTTGGGTAAGGTGTTGTGATGAAGATGCCTGGTCAAACCGACACCCACCATATTGTCGTCCACGTCCTTTTTTGCAAACAGAGCTGTGGTAGCGGACCCCACTTCCACATGATCCTTCCGATGAAGAAGGTGCAGGAGAAGTCGGAGGATAGGAAGCCATGAGAGTAGATCCAAAAGAAGATGAAATGGCGGTCATACGATGGGTTCGGCGAGATTCCTCCAAATGCAGCATGGATCAAGCACATTCAAAGGAAGGTAATGAATCAATTTGTTGGATGAA